TGTGCAGACGGCCGGTCGTGTACAGCGGTCGGGCGCTGGGTACGTTCGCTGTCTGTCTGCAGACAGCCTGTCGTGTACAGCGGTCGGGCGCTGGGTACGTCCGCTGTCTGTCTGCAGACGAACGGTCGTGTACAGCGGTCGGGCACTGGGTACGTCCGCTGTCTGTCTGCAGACGAACGGTCGTGTACAGCGGTCGGGCGCTGGGTACGTCCGCTGTATGTGTGCAGACGGCCGGTCGTGTACAGCGGTCGGGCGCTGGGTACGTCCGCTGTCTGTGTGCAGACGGCCGGTCGTGTACAGCGGTCGGGCGCTGGGTACGTCCGCTGTCTGTGTGCAGACGGCCGGTCGTGTACAGCGGTCGGGCGCTGGGTACGTCCGCTGTCTGTCTGCAGACAGCCGGTCGTCTACAGCGGTCGGGCGCTGGGTACGTCCGCTGTCTGTCTGCAGACGAACGGTCGTGTACAGCGGTCGGGCGCTGGGTACGTCCGCTGTCTGTCTGCAGACAGCCGGTCGTCTACAGCGGTCGGGCGCTGGGTACGTCCGCTGTCTGTGTACAGACGAACGGTCGTGTACAGCGGTCGGGGGCTGGGTACGTCCGCTGTATGTGTGCAGACGGCCGGTCTTGTACAGCGGTCGGGCGCTGGGTACGTCCGCTGCCTGTCTGCAGACGGCCGGCCGTGTACAGTGGTCGGGCGCTGGGTACGTCCGCCGTCGTCCTTTTTTTGTACATGCGGCTGAATGGCACCAAGCTCTTCAGCTGTAGCAGTTATATCCCAGCATTGTTGCCGTCGGCAGTGCCGTCTGTCGGCGGCCGTTCGGGGAAGACCGGGGTCATCTGGGACACCATCTACGTGCTTCGTTCACAGTCGAGTCGGCCAGCCGGCGTTCTGGCGACAGACAGGTGACCTTCGGCCGGTCGGCCTGCCGGAGTCCGGACGGGGTCGTCGCTGACCCCGCGGGCGGTCGCCACCGGCCGCTACAGGGTATCCACGGCTGGCGCCGTTGGATGGTGCGGCGGAGGCTGCTGCGCCCTGCGCGCACCCCATAACTGGGTGGCTGCTGCACCCTGCGCGCACCCCATAACTGGGTGGCTGCTGCACCCTGCGCACACCCCATAACTGGGTGGCTGCTGCACCCTGCGCACACCCCATAACTGGATACTGATCAGTGCAGTGAAGAGCGTCAATGCTGACCCGTTACGGGACTCGTTTGGCAGCCATTGTTGGACTCCTGCGGACTCCGTCGTGCGTCATCTTTGACCAGGGCATCTTCTGGACGTTCGTGGAATCCCGGTTCGAAATGTTGTGCGTTGCATAGAATCCACTTATAGACCCGGCGAGGCCTCCTACTGTTGGACCCGCTGGATGGAACGTATAGTCCATCGTTGGATACGTGTGTGACGTCACATAGTCTGTTGATGCGTCAGGGCATTCAGTCCGCCGTAGCCACCGCTGGACCGCCCAGCGCCCCAACTGCTCGCAGATCAGCCACGGTCCACGGCCAGAGCTCTGCTCAATCTGGCTCGGTCACCCCCGCGCCCTGGGCGCCAGGTCACCACGCGCCCTGGGGCGCCAGGTCACCCACCAGGCCTCGAGGGCCGGTGACCACCGCGGCCATGGGCGCCAGGTCACCACCGCGCCCGGGGCGCCAGGTCACCACCGCGCCCTCGAGGGCCAGGACCACCGCGCCCTGGGGCGCCAGGTCACCACCGCGCCCTCGAGGGCCAGGTCGCCACCGCGCCCTGGGGCGCCAGGTCACCGCCGCGTCCTCGGGTGCCAGGTCACCACCGCGTCCTCGGGTGCCAGGTCACCACCGCGCCCTCGAGCGCCAGGTCATCACCGCGTCCTCGGGTGCCCGGTCACCACAGACCCTCGGGTGCCCGGCCACCACAGCGCCCTCGGCCGGTACATGACGCCGTGGACGCGGTGTAGCCCGGCGAGACATCAAACAGCGTCCGGTTGGCGGGAGCAGCTGCGGTAACGAGACGGCCTTGTCAGCATCGCCAGTTGTCTCCCGTCGCCAATGTCTTCCTTAAGCCAACTCGTTTCCACAAGCATGGCAGCTACAAGAAGTTGCGGGAAGTGAAATGAATGAATGTAAGTGGCAGCATCGTTCCAAATGAGCTGTCAACCCTGATGAGAAACGTCCACTATTCGATAGGCGGTTCTCACGGAATGTCAAAGTGTTGGAATCGGCCTGTCAAGCGTCAGCCTTCGTCAACATGGCGTCATTGGATCCATTTTTGTGCGGCGAATCGGCCCAGCGCTGGGCGTGCCGTGTGTCATGTTCCCTGCCGGGCCACGCGCAGGCCGGTTCCGAGAGCCCGACCTTGCGAGTTTTCCAGAAAGGCTGGGCGCAGGTCTTTTTTGGACCGCACGCTCAGCGTCCGAAACCTGATACCTGCTGCGTCCTCGCTCGGAGTGCGCTGGCGGCGTGGAATGGGTGTTCGGAAGTGGTTCGTGAGCGCCTTTGCCGCGTAAATTCGGCGTACGCTGGCAGCGCCAATCAATGGAGGCATTCTCTGCACTCTCGCAGCGAAGCGCACATGTGCTGGCGATGCTGTTGCGCAGTAAAGCTGCACGGAATTATTGAGGCGGCGTACCAGTATTACGAATGGAGTGATTGCGTGGACATTCGTCCTCGTCAGGCATGTTATTATTACGGACGGAGTCAATGTTAGGACTGTAGTCCTCGCCTCATGCCTCAGATGTTGTTGCATTATACCAGACGAGGGCCATGTATCAGCTGTTATATTACACCAGGCGAGGGCGATGCATCAGCTGTTATATTACACCAGGCGAGGGCGATGCATCAGCTGTTATATTACACCAGGCGAGGGCGATGCATCAGCTGTTATATTACACCAGGTGAAGGCGATGGTGCTAGCTGTTGTCCTAGCTTAGTCTACATCGCCTCCGGTGGTGTGGCAAACGGGAAACGCGTCATCTACGGTAAAAGAACTGTTCGTAGTTGTGTGATGAGCAGGTCTCCTGCACTGGGCAGCTGTCCGAGCTGCTCGCCCGTTTAGCCGCCGTGGTGGACGTCAGGAGCAGGACGAGTGCAGCCGTTGGAGATTGACGTCAGACCGCGTGGGCGTGATTCTTGGGAACTGTTATGATATCTCTTCGACAAGACATGGGCGGTGAGTGGCCTTGTCCTTGGCATTCACATGAGAGATCAGTCATGGCCGACAAAGCTGAGGCTCAAAGGCTCCATTGACGTCTTCCAGGTTTCGTAGGTGTATTAAATGAATGCAGCCAAGTGGAGATAACGGAAGCAGCAAATGCGTAAAGCGCCGCGTTCGTGATCTTATTTGCGTTTATTTGACGTCACCTCACTGGCTGCCCCACACGGAGCACTTTTGGTCGCATGACGTTGCTAGGCGAGGTGAGGCGAAGCGAAGCGGAACTGAAAACAAGTATATCGTTGGAACCAATGAGGTCCCCCAGCGGAGTACGTGCGAAATGACAGGGAGCCCGGCCCCTCGGCAGATGAAACTTTGAACTTCAGTCGACTGCCTCCGCTCCTCACAGGAATTACTGCGGAGCACACCATTGTCGGTCATCTCGAATAGAACAAATTCGTCGTCGGTGGATTGTTGTATTAAGGTGTGTGTGATTTGGGTTCTTTTTTACTCTTCAGTTCCATACCGTTCGCATCGCAGCGCTACGCAGCGGAGAAGGCCGGCGTGGGGCAGCGTTTGCTGTCTGTGGCGTTACCTCGTTTGTTACGTCTTAAATCGCAGCGCGAATCCGATTTCCGGCCGCCACCGTCCGTACGTTACAGGCTTGAACCGTGTGTCTGCAACCCAACAAGGTGATGATTCGCAAGCTGGTGTTAGCTTTTCGTTTGCCAGGGACGGGGATTGTGAGAACCGTGAATAGGAAGTCGGCAGCGTAGCGAACCTGCGCGTGAAAACCCGAATCTCAGCTCAGGTGTCGTCAAAACTGTGTTGCTAAGCTTGTGTTGTCAAACATGCATGTCGCAAACAAGTCTGTCGGTTGTCAAATCATACCATGTTGCGTAGGCTGGCTGAAAGATTGCGAAGTTCCGACGAAAAGCCTGGCGCGAATTAAATTTGCAGTTGCATCACGAGTAGCAGGCTCTCGTTCGTTCCCGAAGTTCCCACTTTCATCAACAAGAGAATTCCGCGAATTGTTGACCACCCCGCCGCTCCAACACAAATTCCGTTTGAAACTCGACGTTGAAGCTCTTCCCAAGGTGGATGAATGCAGACGTCTTCAGCCTGGCAGCGCTAGCGAAATGCCGGGAGAGGCGCGTGCTGGGCAGACAGTTGCTGCATGTGCAATGGAAACAAACTGATTTTGCATCTGAGCTGAGGCCCCGGTGTGAGTTGGCGCCCACTCGGCGAGACCCTAGGAGCTGGGAGCTGTTAAATTAATGTCTGCTGGCGACAGGTTCACTAACGCACAATACCACACGCCGGGTCCGGTATCGGCTCAAGAGGTGTTGTCAGTCGCCTCGCCATGAACCTGACTCCTGGCACATCTTCAGGCTCCGGTTGCCCTAGTGCTGCGTACTGCGTATTTCCCGATCTGCCCGACTCTCGGTCCGTTTTCAGGCGCGACGGGCTCGTTACGTGCCGAAGGCCTGCTTGCGCTTACCGGGGCTGGGAATCCTTGGGGAGGGGGCACGCTTATTCGCAAAGTGTGGGGTCAGGCATGAAGAACACACTGTTACAAAAGTCTTCAAAATAGTTACAAAGGACCTGTTACCCTCTCTGCTGTGGGAGAAGAAATCCACCGGTATCTCCTTGCTGTTTCCTGGCTGTGTTTCGGACGTAACACCGAAAACTCCATCCAGACCTCCTGAGCACCCTGATTACCTCCTGGCTAATTTCAGGCGTGGATGCAACCTCTGGCCTCCTGGCTTACCTCCTGACTACTGTCTGTTTCCGGTGTAGCGTCTTTCAAACTGGAACCTGCTGAACCGGAGGCTCCTGGTGCCTGACGTGACCGGCCTGCCCCGGTTTGTTTCAGGTGGTCCTGGCCTCGGAGCTCTGCCTGACTCTGCTTCGGTGCGGTGGCCTGGCGCAGCGCCGGGTCCGGGACACGGCCCGCCCAGCTGTACACTCTCTGCTACGGCTCAGACGGCGTCGCCGCCCAGCGCCGGGTGAGGACAGAGCCGCCGGAGCGTGCTCCCGCAACCCCCGACTGGAGGGTGGCCGGTTCGAGACCCGGGTTGGCAGATGTTTTGGTAGTCTCGTTACGGGTGTGTGGGAGGTGGGATGTGAACAAAACAGCAGCGGCAGCCGTAAGATAATGGGACTGCGATTGTCCACGTTGCAAAACCGGAAGGCTGTGGATTCGAGACAACCGGCCTTCATGGGGTATGATCCTCGCGTCCGCCGATGGTGATGCGTGCCGACCGCGGGGCTTCGGTGTGTTGTTTCTCAGCAAACCACACGCACACTTTGTGGATAAAGTAGCGGTGGGCCTCGTAGATGCGTTATGCAGCATATGACTTAACAACCGGCGCGAACTTTCGTGGCATTCATGGCGTGGCAGGCGCGCGGCATGAAGAAGTTCGAAACATGACTCTGGCACCGGGTTTCCGAGCTTTCTCGGTAGGATGGCTGGTTGAGACGGCGACGTCCCCCTCAAGCAACGAGGAGAGCAGGGAAGGGTCGGAATATGCCTCGGGGCAAGTCATTCGCAACGAGAGATCCGCGTCCAATTGTAATGAGAGCAAATTGGGCCGCCGGTGATGCCAGCTCTGCATGCCAAAGATTCGTTTTCCATATCGGAAACAAGCTATTAAAATGGACAACGAGCTTTCGGCCCGAATCCATCGATTGTGGCTGTCGCGGACTGCCGGCTGATGGATCCCGGAAATGGCCCGTGCTCCTGTTGGTATTGGAGGCGCGTTTGACGCTGGATATAAGGCCGGGAGTTGCGCATGCGTGGTCGAAAATGAACTCTTCTGCGGAAAATAACCGACACGCGATATGTGAGCTGGTACAGGTCAAACGAAGATGTCAGGCAGTTATGTATGGGTGTCTTATCGAACCGATCTGAGAATGGATGATGCTGAAAATCCTGAACCTCCCTGTGCTTATACTGTGTCGGCACATGCTTTCGAAAGCTGCATACTACTGGAAGAGAAGCTCAAGACCCTGACAGAGCCGAGTTAGTTTGATTGTGCTAGTTAGGGACAGTCGAATGTGATGCTGAGCAGAAAAAAGTCCTAGTGCATTGGGCGCTTGCTGAGTACATCCCAAGCTGAGTGAGGCGGGACAGTCGCGGGCTCACTTTTTGGAAACAAGCTGCGTCTCTATTTCGAGCCCACCGAGCCCTGTCGGGTTGGTGACGTCAGCGGGCCCGATCACAGCGCGGCGCGTCGGATTGCCCTCCGACTGAACCAGCCGACCTGCGGGCGGGAGAACACCTTGCTATCGGTTCACAACATTAGCTGGCTGCACCATGGTCATTGCTGTTCGTCCACTGGTACGTCGCCCGACAAAGCAGCAAAATCCTGGCGGCCCACTCCGTGCCGATGGTGAGCGGGTAGTTCCGGTGTCTGATCATAGATGGCTCTGCCCGTATCTGCCCGGCATGGCCGCGCCACCCTGCGGCGCTGTTCTGGGAAGCCCGGAGTGCGGCTGCGGCACCCTGTGAATCCAGTGACCTCTCAGTAGCCCGCCTTGTCGACCGCGGGCCAGAGGCGCCCCCGACCGGCCGCGCGCCCGGGAGGGCGTTCTATAGCCTCCTCCCCTCAGGTGTTTGGGCTCCGGCTGAACGGGTTTGTCGCAGCGACGGCGGCGGCGGCGCTCCCCGCAGCTCTGAGCCTGGGTGCGCGCCTGCACCGGTCGGCGGCGCGCGGAGCCTGTTTATAGGTCTGTTTGGGTCTGACGCTGATGAGCCGTGCGCCTTACCACGCCGACCAGACTACGCAGAGCGAATGTGGGACAGCGGCCCGTCGGTTGGCGCACCGCACTTAGGGGGGTCGTCGATGAATTCATTTTGAGATGTGTAAAAATGGGTGCAGTTGCCCTAATTGGAAATTGTATTTACTCATTTGTATAAAGTGATTGTTGCACCGTTACCAAGGATTTCTTGGGACGTGGTGGGGGAGGGAGGCTGGGATGAGAAGGCTGCGGGGAGCGTGGAGAGGTTGAGACATGGCATTACGGGATCGGTCACGGATGGAGTACTGTGAGGCTGGGACGTGGTGAGGGAGTGTTGGGAGGCTGGGATTGAGAAGGCCGCGGAGAGCGTTGGGAGGCAGAGACATGGCATCACGGGATCAGCCACGGGCGCACGCATATTATAGACCTCGCAGGGGGGGGGGGGGGTGGCAGGCACCCTTCCCCCTTCCCAATAACATATTCAATTGGCTGAATGTCGTCAGTTCAAATTAGATGCAGGCACGTAAAAGGGAAGGTTAAAAACCGGAAGTTGTCATTTGACGCCTCGCAAGAGATTTCAGAGCCTCTGGCGCGCTGGACTCGTTTTCCAGTGATTTTTAGTTGTGCTCCTCCCATTGTTAAATTCTGCTACGCCTATGGGTTCGGTGCTGGGCACTGGAGTAGAGAGGATGTGATGTACTTGGAGCGGGGGGGGGGGGGCGGGCGGGAAGATGAGGTCAGCAGATGAGGTGAAGGGCTTTGATAAGGAAGTGGACGGTTTTGGTGGACGGGATTAGAGAGAAGATGAAGGGGTGGGAAAGGGGGTGGGATGTCCGGTGGCGATATTTGTAAAGACCATGGTGGGCTGGGAGTGCGGCGGGGTAAGACAGGAGTGGGAGGAGACCTGCATAGGAAGACCAAGATGCGGAAAATGGACAAGTTTGGTGATTGGCAATGGCAGGGGCGGTGACACGGGATACTCGCGATCAAGTGCTACGTTGCGTCGCAGGATAAGCGTTCAAGACTGTTCAGTTTTAAATCACATAGTAGATACTCGTCTCCTAAATCCATGTCCATCTACCAAACTTGAGGCAGCATATAGCTGTTACCTTTCGCCCCACGCAGCGCGCTAAAAGCGGCAATGCAACTAGAGCAACCCTCTCCATTCCCGACGCATCCGTGCTCGCGGCCAGCTCCGTCTCGGCGGTCGGGTCCGGCTCCCCCTCGGCGGTCGGTCCGGCTCTCCTCGGCGGTTGGTGGGTCCGGCTCCCCCTCGGGGTCGGGTCTGCTTCCCCCTCGGCAGTCGGTCCGGCTCCCCCTCGGCGGTCGGGTCTGGCTCCTCCCTCGGCGGTCGGTCCGGCTCTCCTCGGCGGTCGGGTCCGGCTCCCCCTCGGCGGTCGGGTCCGGCTCCTCCCTCGGCGGTCGGTCCGGCTCTCCTCGGCGGTCGGTCCGGCTCCCCCTCGGCGGTCGGTCCGGCTCCCCCTCGGCGGTCGGGTCTGGCTCCTCCCTCGGCGGTCGGTCCGGCTCTCCTCGGCGGTCGGGTCCGGCTCCCCCTCGGCGGTCGGGTCCGGCTCCTCCCTCGGCGGTCGGTCCGGCTCCCCTCGGCGGTCGGTCCGGCTCCCCCTCGGCGGTCGGTCCGGCTCCCCCTCGGCGGTCGGGTCTGGCTCCTCCCTCGGCGGTCGGTCCGACTCTCCTCGGCGGTCGGTCCGGCTCCCCCTCGGCGGTCGGGTCCGGCTCCTCCCTCGGCGGTTGGTCCGGCTCTCCTCGGCGGTCGGGTCCGGCTCCCCCTCGGCGGTCGGGTCCGGCTCCCCTCGGCGGTCGGTCCGGCTCCCCCTCGGCGGTCGGTCCGGCTCCCCCTCGGCGGCCGGGTCCGGCTCCCCCTCGGCGGTCGGCCCAGCTCTCCCCATTGCACGGCGGCAGCGGAGGGCGCCGGCGTTCCCAGAAGGCGCCGCCGGCGCGGCCGGAGGTCGGCCGGCCGGGCCGCCCCACCGCGCCTGGACCGCTGGCCCTGCCGTCTGCCGGTCTGCGGTCTGCAGGTGCCACCGGCCTGCCATCTCTCGGCTAAGGGGGCATTTCCCGCACGTGAAGGACTGCTCAGCATTTCCGAGGGGGCTGCGAGTGGGCGAGGGAGGGCGAGCCTGCTGCTGGTGGCGCCGGCTGCGGTCCAGGGCAGTCCAGGGCCTTTCTGTGCGGGGGGGTCGTTGCTTGGCCAGATGGCAACGGCATTCACTGGTAAAGCGGCGTTGCTGTCTATCGGCGACCATAACTGATCGTGGTGTGTCGGCTCGACCTGTCAGGAGAATGTCAGGAGAACGGACACGATTTCAAGTCCGCTCGAAACATCCGCTCACTCCGGCGCGGCCTGGGTAGAAAATCTCCAGCTGATCGTCGCTGCAAGCTCGGCGGTGCTCGAGACGCGGAGTGAGCGTGGCGAGATCTCCTGTCGCGAGGGAAAAAAAAGCTCCAGATTTCCGGGGAATGCTGATTCTGCGGCGACACACATGGCGTCGCCGGTCAGCCACCCCCGGCAGGAAGGGCGGGGCACTGCGGGGAATCGAACCCAGCACCATCGGAAGCCGGCCGGGCGCGGCGCGGCCTGCAGACGGGTAGCGCACGGCGCCGGGGACGCCGGTGACGCCGGCGGACGGCGCTGCAGGCGAGGTCACGGTCGGCGCCGCCCATGTCCGAACCGGCTGCGTTGCTGTAAACACCGGACGCCAGCGGCGCTGGCCTTCCCGGAACGGCCGCTCGGCGGCCGGAGCCGGCCTTCGTCTGGAAACGGCCTGTCATCGGATGGTCAGACGGGAGGCTCAGGCGGGGCCGGTGGGGCGAGCTCCCCCGATCTCGCGAGTGCTGCGTCCGAAGGGGCCACTGATGCACGCTGCGCTCAGAGCGATTGCTGCTTCGCCGCCGTGCGTCACCGCCGGAGGCCAGGCTGCGCTCCTAATCCTGCTCCCGCTCCTGCTCCTGCGCTTTCCAGGACGCGCTCCTGTCGGGAGTTGCTTCCCAGGATGCGCCCCTGTCGGGAGTTGCTTCCCAGGATGCGCCCCTGTCGGGGGTTGTGAACTTGCCTCCCTGAGGGGCATTTTCAGAAATGACTCCGTTTACAGCGCCGGAGAGTTCCGAGGCTCCACCCGGACTTTGACGTTCAGAGCATTTCGCCAACCATGGTTAGCTTGTACGGTTCCATGGTACTACTTGCCTATGATGCCGATTAAGATAGCCATGTTTGAAGGACAGCCTGAAGAACAGCCTGAT